TTGTTTGTTTGTTTTTTTGTTTGTTTGTTTATTTATTTGTTTGTTTGTTTGTTTATTTATTCATTAATACCACATCATACAAAGATCCTTTACATTTCATACATAAGACGAAGCGGAACGTATATGGTTCTTCACTTGTTCGGTTTGTTAAAAAATGGCTGAAATATAGTGGCCATAGATACATTAGATGGCACATATTTCCGCTTCGCGTGTTTTCATGCGTTCAGGACTGTGATCTGTTGAGTCAGCATTTATTCCGCCAACCATGGTCATCAATTATGTCGGCGGGGTCATCCAAAGTTGAAGGACGCCCTGCCAATCAAGTGTGTTTTTGATCTGTCGCCATTGTTTATTATAGTAAAGTATTTTACGATGCACTGTTACACTATTAAAGTTGGTTTGTACTTACACATGCATATATGCCAACAGAAAAACGTTGGGAAAGGTCCCTCACTGTTATCATCATAACATACCGGTAGCTTGCTTTCAGTAGATCGCCGCCGCCGTTCGTGCAGAGAAACTCGGTTAAAACGACAAGAAGTAAAGATACACTTTATATTATTATTCTCACCGTTATGAAGAACACAGAATAATCTGTATTTTAGTAGTAATGGTATTTTAGGAAACATGCATTAATCTATATATTCATTTTAATCGTCACGCACCCACTCACCGACCCGGGGTCATTATGTGAACAATCCTAATCATACCTGTAGGGGGCGCCCTAGCATCGGCTTTGGCAGTTTTTCTCTTTTTCTGAATTCATGTCTTCAATTGGCGGTGGTCGTCGCGCTGCGCATGTGCAACATTTGTGTTGATAGACATTGATTTTCCAACAATCCAATGCGTTATTCTAATGGAAATCACAAGTATGAGACTTGATCTGGGCGCGCTTGCACTAATTACCGTCGGTGACTCCTTCGATACCTTCCAATCACCTAAAATACCTAATTAAAGCTTGGTAACGTCTCAGTTTGTACTTGTTGATCTGCGCACCAGTCAAAGTCGCCATCTCTGTTTACATGAGACCCTTGTATCTTGCATACGTGGCGCGACGACTACCGCCCTTCAAATATCAATAAGAATATACATTCTCGACAGTCCTTGTTACTAAACTAATTTTTAACACATATGAGCCAATGCAAAAGACTGTCCCGGAGAATTCAGAATCACTTTACAAATATTGAGTGATCAAGTATATCTATGAGTAAGTAAACATGCCAATATTAGCTATGAAAAAAATAAACGTTTGTAACTGCTCCATATAAGAAATTTTCAGATTAGTTGATTCATTATTATAAATCACGTGTACATGTTCATTTCACTTGACATATATAGACAAATATAGGTGTAATTGTAATAGTAACTGTTAAATTACTTACAGTGAAGGGGCTTATTGTAATCGAAGAAACGAAACGAAACGAAACGGGATGACAAACATAATAAAAAATAAACTGTATTCAGAGAAAATGGGTTTTATACGCACAATATTTACAAAATATTTGCCGAAAATAACAATATTTTAATTAGTAAATGACTCGTTTTGATAATAACAGATAATCAGAAATCTGTAATCAGCGAAACAAGGGTCCTGCACGTACAGTATTCACAACTGTCGGACGAAACTTCAGTAGTGTATATAACTACATAATACATTTGCCGAAAATAACGTTATTTTAATTACTAGTAGTAAATGGCTTGTTTCGCTAATTACAGATAATAAGAAATCTGTAATCAGCGAAACAAAACGTTTAGTATACAACTACAGGTCTGTAACTTGAGCAACAGCTATCTTCCATCTAGACAGTAAAATAACGTTTCAGTGAATCAATCAACATATCAGATAAGTGTTATTAGTGGATTGAATTGGCTATAATCTTTGATTATATATCATTCAAATCAAGTTGTACACCATATTAACGGATTTAATATCACTATTGGTTAATCGCCCTCCTTTTCTTATCTATGTGAATTCACTGAAGGACAGATAGAACAGATATTCCTGTTCATATTACAAGTTTTAAAAAAACTGACAATTGATTTAGTTTCAAACAATTGTTTTATATTACACTGAATGGGAATGCATCTCCCATAATACAATGCAATACATCCTGCTCTGTAGGTGCAACATTTACATTAATTAGGCCTGGAAATGTCAATCGAGCAGTCTTAAATAGTTCCTTATCTGTTGCCATGGTGACAATAAATACTACATGGTAAAATGCTGAAAAAAATGACATAAACATATTTCTGCTATAGTATACATACACAATATATATATATATTACTTAGAAGTCATGTGACGTAAATCATGTTGACATAGGTGTTTGATCACCATTTGTGGATGTATGTAATGCTTAAAGTGCCTGTGCAATGCCCACCCTCACGTTTCCCATTTTAGATCTGTGTCCCACTGAAATGGACAGTATTGATTTTTTTGCTGAAAATGATTACTCGTATCCAAGTAAATTTGGTATATTTCTCACCTATCCTGAAACGGTCGACTGTTTCCGGATTTCCGACTCTCGCCAAAAGTGCGCCACCAAATGACAAAATGTGAGAGAAAGTCATACCCCTGAGCAGCAATAACACTGGTCATTCAGTATACTTTTAAACGATATACATTTTTCGGTCGGCGTTTTTTCTTTTTTTTTTTGTCTATATTTTTTTTTTTTTTTGAGAGAGAGTTTTTAGATGTTGTGTTGTGGGCAGTTGCAGTGAAACGTATAGTCATAGTGTATGTATTCACATATTGCTAATCGATCCAAATGTGAGACATCGGTGGACGAAAG